CCTCCACCCCTGCCTGACCTGCCCCTTGCGCTCTTCTCCTAGCCAATGTGGGCAAATAGATTCCTGGTGCGCTGCCTGACACAAGGGCTGGTGGCCAAAGTGCAGAGCTGGACAAGGTCTGTGAACTCGCCAGGAGTTTCCCTCCTCGGTCAATTTGTTGAGGTGCTGGACCCACCGAGGTGGGGGACAGAAGTAGCGTTTGTGTGGATACTGCTAGAAGTGTCTTAGGCTTGAATTATTGCCTAAATTTAAGCTGTGTCCAGGTGAAGTCTTAAACCTACCTGGGATCAGGTAATGTAGTAGCTTCTTCCGTGAGGCTCCATTTCCAGCAGCAGCCAGTGCCAAATACCTCCCCAGAGGGAGGAGGAGACGTGAAGCTCTCCCGATGCGATTGCCGGGTTACCTCTGTGATGATTCTTCAAGCCGCTAGGCCTGGGGTTCTGGGGTTTGTCTCTGCTGCAGCGATGCTTGGGTAGGTCCAGCCATGCTCTGCTGCTTGTTAAAGCAAGGATGCAAGCTCTGCTTGTGGGGAAATACCTTGAAGTTGGTGCTAGTTGAACAGCAAACGTGAACTCTGTACTGCCTGGGTGTTTGTGAATTATTGAACTTCTCCTGAGGATGCCCAAGCAAAACCAGGACTTCCAGTCCTGCTTCCCTGCAGCAGCAGTGCCTCCTGCCTTCAGAAGGCATGGGATTACTGGGATTCAGTCTCTTCCTACCCTGAGAAGAACGGCTGTTCGTCTTGAGTGTGAAGCTTGCTGTGGAAATGTGTGTAGGGGCAAACTAATTGCTGGCTAGATGAGATAGGGATGTTTTCTCGGGGGGTTTGAGCACTGTTACTGGGAAAGAAACGTTTGGCGTGCTGAGGTGTTCTGTACCAAACCTTCTCTCCCCTCTCCAGCCCTGCTATCCTGACTCTTGTAGCTGTTGGATTTCTCCCAAGCCGGCTGCTGTCAGGGCACCGGGAAGGTATGTGTTTACCCTGAACATCAGCCAGGGTCTTGATGAGCAGAGCTCCTCGTAGCAAATGAAACGACGTTCCAGCCTCTGCAGCGGAGGTAGGCAGCTGCTTGAACCTCCCTCTCGGTGTGTAGGACACTGCCTCTTTCAGAGGAGCAGAATGCCCTGAGAAACCAGGGCTTTGACTGGTGACCACGTTGTGGGCTTTCAGTTGCCGGTTTTTGGATAAAAGCAATGGTGTGTGATGGCAAGAGAGAGACAATGATTTTTAATTTCCCTTCCTCCCAGTTCTCCTGCAATATCCTAATACTGAAAAGGGGTTTGATTTGTGCTGACTTGTCTCTTGAATTCACGGCTCATCGGGGAGGTGTCTATACTAGAGATGGTATCAGAAAAAAGTCTAAGCTTCCATATTTTCCTGTACTTGTACTGTCCTCACCGCGGGCTAAAGGGACTGGTGTCGTCACTGCCCTGCGTATTGCTGTAGATGTGAGCGTGTCAGACTGAGCCTTTACAAAAAAAGCCATAGGAGATACAAGTCTGAGAGTTCTTAAATGACTTTTTGCGTGCCAACCCCTTCTTCCAACAGCAAACAGAGCTACTGGAACAATAATTCACTGTTCTGATCAGTTGTGCTTCTACCACACTAGCAACAGGCTTGGGTAAAGGCTTCCGAGACCCCTGTGTAGCATGGAGAGCAAAGTTCCAGTGTTGGTGAGTGCTGCTAAACACGAGTGTGCTGCGAGGCCTGGAGGCTCTAACCAGTAAGTTAGCAGACGTGTCTTGTACGATGGCGGTCTCGGGAGCCATGCTGTGTGTGGCCACTGGGAGCTTTGAACCGTTGCTGCTGTTAACTGCTCATTTCTGAGGCTTGATCTGGCGTGTTCCTTTGGATTGGATTTAACGTCGACCTTCGGGCCTCTTCCAGAGGATGAGTGGAGCTGAAGTGTTCTTTGTAGCTCTGCTCTCGCCCGCTGCTTTGTACTGGTGGCTGTTGCAGGCCTGGCAGCGAGCAGAGGCAGCACACCCTACCTCCAGGACTCTGGCTCTCTGGAATTATAACATAAATTGGAACCAGTTCGTCTAGATTTTGGAATCTGCATTTCTTGAGCGGTGCCTGGCCTGAAGTAAGCTGAGCAGGAAGCCAGGGTGTCATCAGAATTGCGTATCTGTATCTGCAGGAGGCTGGCGGGGCTGGGCTGCGAGGCAAGCAGGCTGTTCCCCCGTGCCCGGGAGAGGCTCCTGGCTGAGCCTGGGCAGGTTATTTGCCTCTTTGCTTTAGTTTCCCTTCCGCATGGTGGGCATTTCCCAACGTCTGAAGCTGAAGCCGTGTGATGAGTGAACGTATGTCCTGTTTGCTGACCTGGTGTGACCGTGCTTGCTGTCCAGTGAGTGATGAAATGGACAATACAGCACCCGAACCTGGTTTCCTCAAATATCTCTGAGCCCTTGTGCTGATGCACCTTTTCTGCCCCAGCTGCATCATCCTGCCCTAAACTTCTCTACCCGAGGGATGGCTGTGCCGCGCCCTGTCCTGCAGGGCAGGGCAATGGGGATGTCCGGCTGCCGCCCCGATGACTTCTGCTGCCGCACCGGGCTGGCTGGCATCACGAATTAATGCATTTTGGTCAGGCCTCCCCTCGGGGAAGGCTCTGTCCCGGTGAGCCCGGAGGCTGCCTGATCACAGGGGAAATCTGGGGATGGGTGCTCAGACCCAGCTCCCAGCGCTCCTGGCCGAGTCCTGTGCCGGAGTGTGGAGGGCAGTGAGTGGCTGTAAAACAGGGTTTAGAAACTCAGGGGTGAGGAACCAGAGGGCAGTTAATTTATAACTGGTGTGCTTCGTGTGAGCTGGGAGCCAGCAGCTGCTGTGCTGGCCCTTTGCTAATGAACCTGGCGAGCTCGCAGCTGCTTCTCTGCTGTTCTCCCAGCCCCGGGACGTGGGCTGAGCAGCGAGCCTGCGGATGCAGCCCACCGAGGGGGACTGCACTGGGGTGGGAGAGCGCGAGGGATGGCTCTATCACAGCGAGTGCTTTCCCAAGAGCCAGCAAGCAGCTTAGTTCCTTGCTCATCTGGCAAGGCTGCCTGTAAGGTGGTGGTGTGGCTCTGCACAAAGCTGATTACAGGTCCATTTTATAAATGAGGTGGCTGGAATTCTGGCTTAACAGGGGTGCTCAACTAACGTAAACCAGGTGTCTTGCTTCTGGGTAAGTAAGTCTTGCGTATCCCGCTACATCCGAGGAGAGTTTTTTCCGTTTGCAAAAGGGGAGGGAGATCCCAGTTACTTCTGGGGTTTGGAGGAAACCCTGCTAGGCAGGAGAGGGGTGTGTGAGGGGTAGCAGGAACCATCTGCGGCTCGCTCTGTTCAGAGAGCACTTTGACTCTTCATGGAGTACAGCCCAAGGAAGGCAGAGCAGTGAAATTCGCCCCTGCTTTGGAAGAAGTTCCTCTTCATATAGTCCGTCGTAGAGAAGGCTTTTGTTTCCCCTGGGCGCTGCCTGACTTCAGAGCTTAGCTGGCCTAATTCACCACTGCTTTCTTCCAGGGGAGGCTCCATACCGCTGTGGAAATGCAGTAGCTTGTTCTTCCTCCTGACTGAAGGAGAGGTGCTTCCCTTTCCGGTCCCTCTGCTCAGAGTCTAACGTTGGATGAGATATTTGGTAGCACCAGTGGAAAACAGCTTGCTCACCATTTCAATGCAGATTGCTAACGTGGAGGGCTCTGATCCTTTTCAGCCAGGAGCCGTCCTGAAGTGGGAAACCTAATGCAGGCTGCTTGCTGTGTTGTAGGTCTCCTCTGTGGTTAATATTTTGTGACCGGGGTGTTAGTGTTGAGGTTCACTTGAGGGAGCTGACCTGAACAAGCAAGACTGCTCCCTTGAAGGTGCCTGGTGTGCCGTGGAAATGGCCGGTGGCTGCTCCTCACCGCCCTGGTGGTGGAGCAGCTCAGGGGCGCCTTGCTAGGCTGCTCGGCATTTCATACCCACCCCTTTGCTAAGGCAGCTTCCCTCCAAAGCCCCTCTCTAATTTTGCCTTTCAGATTCTAATCTCCAGCACTGAGCAGCAATGCCATCAGCGATGGAGGGCTCAGAAGGGGGAGAAGAAGGGGAAATCTTGCGCTATGAGGAAACAGAAGACGACAATGTTAGGTGAGTCCTATCTCTCAACATGGCACAGACAGAGTCTTGGGCAAGGCAAGAGACCTTCCAGGTAAAGGAGTGATCTTTCTCCTCACCTGAAGAGGAGTGAGGGACTCCAGTAGGTGATTAATCAAATATATGTGCAGTAAAATCTGTTTAATCAAACCATACTGGAAGGGTGGAAGGGATGGGAAGGAGCGATCTGGCTAAGGCTGACAACAAGCAGTTATTTTTTTTCAGTCTCTACTATCAAACCGGCATTTCAGAAATGCTTTGACCGTTTGGCAGTTGTGTTTGTGCCTTCCTGGCCAAGGTGAGCCAGTTTTCCGTGGCTTGCTGGGCAGTCTCATGTGATAGCAGCTTCTTGTTTTGAAAGATGACTCTAGAGGTGAACTCTGCTCCAGCGAGCTGCCTCTCTTGCCTTTGCAGAATACCCGCTGGTCTAGGCAAGAATATTTTCTTGGAGGTTAGTTTAAAAAAACAAATTCACACACATGCTCTAAAAGCCAAGGCTTCAGACTTGGAAAATGGGAAGAGCGAACAGGGTGCTTCCCAGAATACCTAGTTAGGCTGGTTGATTTTGCTTTGACTTGACAGGCTCAGTTTCATGAGAAGTTAATGCTGCCTGGCTCTCCCGGCACATCCAGGCCTCATCTAGCCTGTTGGCTGCGGTGTTCAGGCACTCAGTGGGTCTGGAGTGTTCAAAGTTTGCCTCTTACAGCTAACAGGAACACGCTATCTGTAGCAAGCCAGCGATAAAAACTGTACGGTGCACTTTGGCATGATTTTGAGTGAGTGTAGATGTTGATAACGCTGTGCCAAACTCCAGGTAGGTGCAGTGGCTGTAACCTAAAGTCATAGATTGTTTGGTTGTTTGTTGTTGTTTTTTTTTTTTTTTTTAGAAAGACAACAACAATCACCTGCAAAACCAGTGTGATTCAGGATAAATAAACTTTGTAAGGGTGTTCTTGCCCTGTTTTGCCATTTGGCTCTCATCTCCTCTCCTGCAGTTGATACCCAAGTCGGAAAAGCTAGGGTCCTGCCTGTGTATGCATCTGCTCTTACCTGAGCCTTTGTCCTTCTCCGGAGTGACCGAGGAGGATACCACCGAGGCTCCTGTCCCCTTTAGCCTGCCCCCGTAGTCGCTCTTCATGTGCTCAAGGCCTGCTTCTGTAGTATTGTTGGGGCTGACATGGATGAGAAGCAAAAGTCATGGTGCGGGGGTCAGACGATCCTTGGCAATTGCTTCAGCACCCTGGCTCTGACCCTTTGTAAGCCCCAACCCTCCCAGAATGGCAAGTCTGGTTGGGACGTGGGTGCCCGCATCTGCGGAAGGAGCACCCTGCTGCTTCCTGCTGGTGGTGCCAGTTCCAGCCTGTGGGACTGGCCTGAGGGATCCCAGCTTGTACCTTCTCCAGACTGGGCCTGAGATGGTGGGGAGTGGGGGGATCCCCCCAAACACAGCAGGGACAAGCTCATTACTCTGTGTGGAAGTGGGGTGAAAGGAGCTCTCCCTGTTTGTCTGCAGTCCCACCGACCTTTCAGAGCTGCTGAAGGAGGGGACTAAGGAATCCCATGACCGTGCGGAGAACACCCAGTTTGTCAAAGACTTCCTGAAAGGACGGATCAAGAAGGAGCTCTTCAAGGTGAGTGCTGCTCTGCTCCCACGGCAGAGGAGCTCTTTGACGCACCCAGTGACTGAGGCAGACTCTGAGGCAGAGCCCCACAGCTCTGTGTGTAGGGGACAGGGAAAAATCCAGTTTCTAGGTGGGACAGTCAAAACTACAGCAGGGCCCTTGTCCAGGACTTCTGCCTGGCGTATCCTACAGCGGGGCGAGGAGCGTGCTGGCCCAGCACAAGTTTGATTAGGTGGAAGTGCTGGGCTTCTGGCCACGCATCTGCTGGCCGCGCAAGGCAAGTGTGGCTGCAGCACAGACACGGGGGGCATAAGCTGTTCAGGAGCGAAATGCTGGTGAGATGACAGCACTTACTCCATCCTCTGAAGACTAGCCTGTTTTCCATAGACTTCAGGTTGGATTGCTTTCTCATCCGTGCAGAAGAGATGGTATTCTGGGTCTGAGCAGCACCGTCTGATCCTGAAGGTCTTTGCATATGCAGCAGTCTCCTATAGCACAAGGCTGTTGGTGCTAGTTGTACCTTTTGGGTGAAGTTTGGCCCTGTGCCTTGCTCTCCAGGTGACAGGAGGCCCAGAGCACACAGCTGGCAACGTTAGACTAATTCTTAGCTCGTGCTCTGTAAGCATTGTTGTTATGAACGTGGACAGAGAAGAGCCTCTGATCCGTCAAGCGATAACGTGCCCGGTACGGGCTCTCCAGGCTGGTTTTGTGTCAAGCTTGGGGTTTCCTTCTTGTTTACCCCAGCTCCGTGCAGGGGGGGAGTAGTCACAAGGTGTGATGTGCCCACCTAGTGAATGGCTTCTCACATGAGCTGTGCTTTGTCCCCGTAGCTGGCCACCGTGGCACTTTACTTCACCTACTCTGCTCTGGAAGAGGAAATGGATCGCAACAAGGACAACCCAGTCTTTGCTCCTCTGTATTTCCCCCTAGAGCTTCACCGGAGAGAAGCGTTGGTCAAAGACCTGAAATATTTCTATGGAGAAGACTGGAAAGAGAAGATCCAGTGTTCAGAGGCGACTCAGCACTATGTGGACAGAATCCATCATGTGGGACAGCACGAGCCGGAGCTGCTGGTGGCTCATGCTTACACACGCTACATGGGGGACCTCTCAGGTGGCCAAGTGCTGAGGAAGGTAGCCCAGAGGGCCCTGAAGTTGCCCAGTACTGAGGAAGGGATCCAATTCTACATGTTTGACAACATTTCCAATGCACAGCAGTTCAAGCAGCTCTACAGAGCGAGGATGAATGCTCTGGACTTGGACAAGAACAGCAAGGAAAGGATCGTGGAAGAGGCCAACCGAGCCTTCAGATTTAACATGCAGGTACTAAATCCCTTGAGCCCCTGTGTGTGTGCTGCTGCTTTTGGGTCTGGACCAGCTCTTAGGCTCAGTTTAATTCAGTCAGACTGCTCATCCAGGCAGTGGTTTGGGTCTGAGACCACCAGAGCCCCTCCTTCTTGGGGGCGGGGGAATTCTAGTTTGTGGGATTCTTCCGCTAGCTTCTGGAGACATGGCTGCTGTCGGGTAGGAATTCCTCCCATACTCCAACACCACAGCCGAGCCTTTGATTAGGGTAAAATTAAGATGGCTTTGCTACAAGATTCCCATGGGCTGCGTGGGTCTGAAGCAGCGGGGGGAGCAGAGCTCTCGCTCCCAGCCAGCCTCAAACGGTTTGAGCGTATTGCACCACTCTGGTTACAATTCGTCTCCTGTCTCACGTCTGACGTGTTGCCCGATGGCCAAGAATGCCTGTAGCCTCTTGTTCCTTCCCATAGTCTTTGCCTTCCATAAAACCTGACTGAGCTGCCGCTCGCCCCAGGGGGAAGAACAAAGTCTTAGCTACTGGATGGAAGCTTTAATCTGTGCCTGTAGCAGGTTGGTGTGGTTTAAGCTGGCCAGAAATGCGATGGGATGTGGTCGGTTCCTTTGTCAGGATCCTTGCGGAAATCCCTGGCAGCAGAGCTGGAGGGGCTGCCTGACCGCTGCACGAACAGAAGCAGCGATCCCCAGAGAGAGGGTCTGCAGCAAGGAGGGGAGCGCGCGTTGCCTCGTACTCCCACCCGCAACAGGCTGGGAGGCGAACAGCAGGGCGATGCTGCTTCTGCCTCGCTCCGGGGTCTGCCTTGATGCTCTTGGCACGGGCTGTGCCTTCTCAGAGCCGTGGCATGTGGCAGATGTCACCGCGGGTCTGCCTGCGAGGCGCTCCGAAACGAGCGGCGCAGGCTGGCTTTGCGGGGAGGGAGGCAGGAGTGGCTCTTGCCTGTTCTCCAGATCGTTCCAGGGGTCCGGATGAGAGCTCTGCTCGCTTCATGGACTCGCTGTGACCACTTGCAGGTATTTGATGAACTGGACAAGATTGGCAGGTCGCTGGCAGAAGAAGCCCAAGACGGAGGCCTTCCAGTCCATGATGGAAAAGGAGACCTACGCAAATGCCCTTACTATGCAGACAAACTAGGTAGGTCGTGGGCAGCCACAGAGCTGCCACGCGTGTAGGACACGAGACTCGGAGCATTAACGGTGCTTTCTGTGTTCCGGCAGGCAAGGCCGGGCCCGGCTGCCCTTGTCACGCCGCCGTGGCCCTGGCAAAGCAGCCCCTAGTGCAGCTGATCCTGGCAGCCTGCGTGGCTGTGGCAGCAGGAGCTGCAGCCTGGTACATCATGTGACGGGGAGAGCGGCGCCTGGCTCTCGATGGCGGCAAGGGGAGAGGCGCACCCTGTCCTTCAGACTCTTCCCTTGCTGTTGGTGGTGAGTTGACTGCAGGGTGGGAGTAAGAAAATAAACAGGAATCCTGTCAAAGACTCTTTGCACACCAATAATGCAAGCACTGTAATATAATGTCTTTAGCTGATTAGTGTACAGGACTGATCCGGTGCGAGGATTCCACTTCAGCGCTGCCCTACCCAGGCTGGGGCAGCTTTTAAGGCTAGAGGTGTCTTGTCCTGTGCTGGCAAAGGCTTCACGTGCTTGGGTTTTCATCTCCTTCCTGGGAGCAGTCACTGGAGGGAGTTTCCTGCCCTGGGCTGCAACTCGAGAATGCGTCATCAGCCTTTTCAGTGAAGAGCACTTGGTTTCCTACCCCGAGAAATGATGTTTGAGTCGTGCCGTGGGGCCGTGAGCTCGAAGGAGCGTCCTATGCGTTGCGGTGTCCCGGGGACCAAGCCCAACTGGTGTGTGAGGAAGCTCCCTGGGCCGGGGACAGGACCATGTGTGTGGGTGGGGGTATGGAGGTGACAGATGCGTATTGTGCAACAGCGGGGGTGTGGGTTGGTTTTTGTTTTGTTTTCTTTTCTTTTTTTTTCTGAAGCCTCGACTGGAATAAAAAGTTGTGATGCTGTAGCCTGGGAAAGCCAAAAGCGCATCACGGGGAGAACGAGCGGGCTGTGCCGCGAGGCGTGGGGATGCGGAAGGACGGGGAGGAGGTTAATGGGGAGAAGTGGAGCGGGTACGGACTCCCACGCTGCTGTACTTGTCTGTGACTCATGTGCTCCCTGAGACGCTCCTGCCCTTACACCCCACTCTGTCCCTCGGGTTTCCCCCAGCTCCTGGGGGGCGGGGACCCACTGCCCCTGCCGAAGGGCTCAGCCAGGCGCTGCGAGGGCCTGAGCCTTCCCCTGGTTGAGGGGGCTCCTGCTCTGCCGGGGGCAGCCCTTCCCTGGGGGCAGGGAGCTGCTCTGGGTCATGCAGCCGCCCCTTGCTCTCCGGTTCATGGTGCCGTGGGGACATGGGTACCCCTCTCCCTCCCTCCAGCCCAGTCCTGGGGGGGTTTCTCCTCTTCAGCTGAGGGCTTGGGCCCAAGGAGTGTGGCAGAGCTGGGGAAGCCCCAGCTGCAGCTGAGGGCTGGGCAGGGAAAGCTGTTACCCCCAGGGCCAATGCTGCCCTGCGCTGGGCTGGGGGAGGGAAGCTGCTGCTCTTCCTCCAGGGCACTGCTGTGCCCTGCCTGCCCCCACGCCATCCCTCCTCATCCTCAGCCTCCCTGGGGGTGGATCTGCTGTGGGCTTGGAGGAGGGGGAGAAGAAAACAGGTACACGGAGTTCAGGGTCTGTTGTTTATTTACATAAAAACACTGACCAGTGCCACCGTTCCACCTCTGAGCAAACAGCAGCTGCCTGTGCAGGCCAGGCCCTGTTTGCAGACCTGCGTACTGAGACACCCCCTGCTTCGCTCGGGGGGCTGCACGCTCCGGCTGCCCTGGCTGCAGGGGGCCAGGAGGGCCACCAAGAGGCTCAAAATGGCTCCCAGGTCATCTTGCCCTCATCTGTCACAGTGCTGCTGGCAGCTCCTGTCACTGCCCGCTTGCCCCCTTCCTTCTGCCCCGTATCAAGTGAGCTAAGAGTAAACCCCTACACCTGCATGCAACGAGGAACCCCAGAGGGTGCAGCTGCAGTGGTGGCGGGACGGGTGCTGCAGGGTGCGTGCCCGCAGACCCTGGCGGCCTCGGGACGTGGCTCTGCAGCGGGTGGGCACGGGTCTGCTCCAGAGCTGCGAGCCAGCTGCGGCCTGGTAACAAACACCTCTAATCTACAGCGGTGGGGCAGGCAGCGACATGCCGGATGCATTTTTCGCTAACAGTTTTGCCAGGTGGGCGAGGAACTGCCAGGGGCTTTCCTTCCCCGAAAGAGCCACAGCAGGGGCTGGGAGGAGGTGCATGCAGCTGGAGCGGCCGTGGCCACCAGGCGCTGGCGGCCGCTCGGGCAGGACGGAGGTGCTGATTAAGGGTGCGGTGCTGCTGCCGTTTCTCCCCAGGTGCCTCGAAGGCGGCTCTGCCGGCCTCTCCTCGGGAAGGGGCTTTGCCTACGGGCTGCACACTGACCTGGCTGGAGAGGGCTGTGACCCACGCTGAAACCTGGCACGCGTGGCACTACCCTCTCTGTCTCACCACCACCTTTCCTGAAGGTGCCCCAAGGGCTGTGCTCCCTCCCCTGTGTGCGCTGCAGGCTGCTCGGCTCCCCGCTTCCTTCCCCTCCTGGGCGGCAGCTGCCCCCCGCCTGCAGCAGCGCCCTGCAGGCAGCACGTCCCTTCCTGCGGGCACCCCTGCGCCTCCAGCAGCTGTTGCTCTTCCCTGGGTGGTTCCAGGCGAGAGGGGCCTCGGAGCGTACGGGGGTGCAGAGGGATGCCCCCCACTCCCGCGCGCTGCATCCGGAGCCTGGGCCCGCCTCCCCTGCGCACCCGTACCAGCGTCGCCAATCCAACCGTTCACGGCGAGGACCGGAGCTTGGGGAAGGTGGTCGCAGCTCTGAGCGGGAGGATACACACATACACACCACCGGAAGGTTAAGCGAAGGAGTGATGCACACGCGTAGACGAGGACGGCAGCGGGAGAGGGGCCGGTGTCATTCCAGTGGCTCGGGCTCCCGGGGTGCTGTTAGCACATGCGCTTGTACGTGTAGATATAGGCTTTGCAGTTGGGACAGCTGTGTGTCACATCCTTGAAGTCATCGAACAGGCAGGGGATCAGGCAGCAGCAGAGATCGCACCTGCAGCAGAGGAAGAGGCAGAGCGCTGTGAGCTGGGCACCCGCGGCAGCCCGTGGGCACAGCCTGCGGGCGCGGGACGGGACGCGGGCAAGAGAGGTGAGCACTTGCCCCTGGGAGCCAACCGTGACCCCCTGCCGCGGCAAAGGGCAGCACAAAGTCCCCTGCCCCTTGGTGTGCGCTGCTGCCGCAAGGGTCAGCGCTTCGTTAGTGAGCAGTTGCGCACCTCACGGAGGGAAGGGACAACCTGGTGAGATGCACGCAGGCGATGAGGCCCGACCTACCTCCACCGCTGCCCCCATTGCTGCCAGCCCTTGGCCGCGAGGAGATGGTGGCTCTCGGCAGCACCGCGGGCTCTGGGGCCCAGGGATCACCCATCACCGTGGGGCTGCTGGCGGCAGGGAGGCCCCAGCTCTGCTTGCAGCACCTACCCCACGAAGCAGCAGAAGAAGCCAAGAAGGAAGCTCATGAGCCCGATCTCGTAGGTGATCTTGGTGGTGATGGCTTGCTGGCAGTGGGGACACACCGTCTGCACCGGGGCACCCTGGAAGATCTCTCCCTGCAGCACCGTCACTGTGGTGGCAGCCCCTGATGGGACGAGGACCGTCGCCGTGTGGCCACCGGGAGCGGGGTAGTGGCCCGGGGCGGGGTAGTAGCCCATGGGGGGGTGAGGGCCTGGGGGCGGGTAATAACCTGCTGGGAATGAGAAACGTGCACAGGTGAACAGCGCTGTACACGGCAGGAGAAGCCAGATCTTTGCTGAGGGGGGGATCCCAGCCTGCTGCCACACTACCACCTTGGGTACAGCCCTGGGGGGGCTGGCCCTGCTGCAGGCACTGTGCCCCCCGCCCAAGGAGCCTCACTGCAAGCCCCAAATGGCCCCCCCTGAACCCCACTGTGTCCCCACACCCCAGGGGTTCGTTGCCCATCACCACCCCCTGCTCCGCGCAGCCCCTGGTGGTACTCACCGGGCGGCACGTAGGGCCCGGAGCCATCTGTGGGCATGTGGGGGGGCACGAACCCCGGCTGTGAGGGCGGCTCGTATGGGGGGGGCCCAAATTCAGGAGGGGGGATGGGAACCCCCTGGGGCTGGCCCACGACAGGGGTGACGCCATCTGAAAGGAAACAAGAGAGTCGGCAGCTGGGGCAAGAGGTGGCCGAGCTGACAGGGAGATGGTGGCTGGGCTGAGCGGTTTGGGGGGTGGCCCCCCGCAGGGAAGGGAGACATGACATGGGGTGGGGGGCACCCCCAAGCCTCGTCCTCGGGGCCACAAGAAGCCCAGATTCACCCCACAGCAATGAGCAGAGCCAGGCTTTGAGCAGGGAGTCCTTTCTGCTCTCATCGCTGCCCCGGGCCCTCCTGCCTCCCCGGAGAGCGATACGGTGACAGACAGAGCCGAGCATCCCACCACTCTCTCCAGCGTGCTGCAGGGCAGAGCTGCAAGGAGAGGCCACGGCCAGGGTGCTGCCAGGGAAACCACGCTCGCTTGGCTCCTGCCCGCACAGCAATGCCACCCTGACACCCAGAGCAGCTGGGATCCCCCCCAGTACCTGCCGCGGGGGGTGGGCCATGCTTCTCTTCTATCAGCGGTGCCGAGGGGCCGCCTGGGTAGGGTGGCGGAGGGTCGTTGGACATGGCTCAGGGCGGCCCTGCAAGGACAGAAGCCTTTAGAAGAGACACCAGCCTTTGGCTGCACACAGGCACCTGCCCGGAGCTGCGCGGTGCTTGGGGAAGGAGGTGGCAGGTAATGGTGGGGTCCGGGGCTGGTGCCACCACTGCACCGGCCTCAGCCCCCCGCCACGGGCAGAAACAAGGCCCCAAAGCTGGACAGGCTTCAACCCAGGCAGCAAATCCAAGGTGTAACATCTTCCTGCCGGCTCCGCAGGGTTTTCCCTGTAATGCCCACGCGCGGTGCACAGTAGCTCATCGGTGCGGCTCGCGGCTGCACGGTCAGTGTGCTGGGGCAGTACCGGGCTGGAAGCTGCTCTGCCAAGCGCCTTGGCTGCAGCGTTACAGGACCAAAGTTGGGGAAAAGCTGCCTGCGTCACCCACAGCCTCCCCAACTCCACCCAGCAGAGTGATAACGCAACGCTGCGCCCCGGGGTGATGGCAAGACCCCGAGCCTGCAGCACAAACTCTGAGGTGGAGCACGCAAATCCATGGAGAGCATCTCTAAATACTCTCACCGAGTGAGTTAAGGTGAGACCGTCTTTAACAGCTGGAGCCATTATTTTACCTGGGGTAAAATTCACCTGTCCTCGTCCTTGCAGCAAGGAGCTCAGAGGCCTCGACAGAGCTGAGAAAATTCTTCTGAGCAGCG